AATGTTTGACAGACTAAAACACATCTGACCTTTTTCATTGTGGCCAGTTGTTGTATTGGCTAAAAAGTATTGTCTCATAACAGATATTTGACAGATTCAGGAAGTTATTTGACTGATTTATTTGATAGATTTATATGTTAATAGATACAGGCGATCATTTAAAAAATCTTATAGTTACGTGATGAGACGAGTGGGACAGTGTGATTGAGTTATTGAATTGGGCTGAACAAATACTAATAATGGCATCGTTCAAAGCATTACATTGAAATGAAGAGCTTCAAAGATTTCGAGTATCTCAGGCAGAAAGCATAAGAAACGAACGTTTGAGAGAATGAAAGTGATCCATATATTCAAAGGTATGAGAAGGATACTTTACTCTTCAAATAAATTCAGTATAATTTGGATTATTTATTTATGCTTGAAGCTTGCCGTTGTCTCATTTTATATAGTTCACATTTATTAAAATAATGCAGTTTGATAAGCTTACTAAAATAAGACTAGAAAGCATTGTGAACAGTACAAATCTTAATAATCAACTCATCGTTCGATTTTTACATAAATCTGCTAGTCAGTTTAAGTAGATGAAGCATTCATTGTTCAGGTTGGTTTGAAAAAATTTGTCTGACAGAAACTAACTTATGTAATAAACCACATAATTTATTTTCATTATGCTTCTTTGAATGGAATAAGGAAGCTTGAACGGGTAAAAGCATACAATGAGCAAATAAATAACAAATTATGTAAGGATGTTTGGCTTGTGAATTGTTTTAGAGAAAAACACTGGACTGATTCATTCCTCGTCACTCGCTTGTTTTCTTTGCTCGAAAGTCCAATTTATCATTATCAATGAATGAATTCCCATGTGCAATGAATCAAGCGTTTTTATTGGTTTCTTTTTTCATCGAGCAGTCTGTTTTATCAATGAATTTGAATAACAGGAACAGATTTTAGCTCCAAACATTCAAAAATCTTATCTATTGCCTATTTTTTTTCTTTAAGTGTAGTCTGGAAGCATTTCTACGTATCCGAAGCCATTCTGTTCAGAAAGTCGTCGTAAATGAGAATGTGGTGATCAAGATCGATATGCTCGTTATTAGAATAACTATAATGATAAGTTCGGATCGACCGGCAATTATGTTCCACGATAAGAAGCAACATGAAGTAATCCTGATAGAAGTTGGCATCACTGGTCACGACAGGATGACAGCAATCGAGACCGAGGAAAGGCGAAAGTACGATTTACTGGCTAATAAACTCCGATCAGAAATAAAATACAGGACCAAAACACTTCAGTACGTGATTACTTGGGATGAGATAGTGATAAACTTCCATAAGTGCTACGCGAAGGAGATTAGTATATCTGAGCATGTCGAAGTATACATTTAATCGGTAGTTCTCAAGAAGACGCTCAAAAGCATCTTCTTCGATAATCGTTATGAATTTCACGAGGACGAAGCGAAAACGATTAGCACAACAAATCTGAGCGCGGGGGAAGTACAGCCAGAAGGCCTGAATACGATCAAGGCCAGAATCGATAGTCCGGAAAAGAAGATTAATCTGCATGGTGATATAACCCTCACTATTCATTTGTTTGTTTATTAATCTATTGTTATTAATTACTGTTTGTCATTATTATTATTATTATCATGAGTCTTATTGCATAAATACAAATAACATTAAATTGAACGTCAAATTTGTCTTCTTTATTTAATTTAACTACCACTTCATCTCACTACACTTTTAATGAGACTAAATGATACAGTCTTTAGATTATAATTCATTATTCTCTTTTCAGTTCATTTTACCTCACAACTTTCAATTATAGCCCAGCTGTCTCGCTCACAACTTTGCATTTAATAAAAAAAAACATATCTTGCCAATGATCTCAATTTTCCTCACATATATGTCTAATTTGGAAAAAATAATAAGTAATCGTGGATCCTGTGCTTACGAGTTATTTTCCTGAATACTCCAATCCTCGACTACGTTCTTGCAGTACCAATGCATTTTCAATTCCTAATCGTAATTTTATTACCGATTGATAACGATGAAATGAGTTTTGAAACGAATGTTTGACAACGGTTATTCAGTTGTAATTAATGGATGCAGTATGCTGTTGCTAATGTTAATGCATCAGATAATTACGGGGATCTTTCCACTTCGTTCTCGGACGTTTTTTTGAAATGCTTGATACTACTCATCGATATTTAACATAATATATGCATCTATTTCATTTTTACTAATGTTTTAATTGCGTCAGTATTTAAGTATTTTATTGTATTAGCTTAGTCGCTTTTGAGGACTATGAATGACTGTGCACCAATAACAACCCTGAAGATTTTAATTATTGGGGAAAGTGGTGTCGGTAAATCCAGGTAATTTTTACTCACTTGCAATATTTGATTTAGAATAACGATTTGTACGGTGTAAATTTAAAATTTAATGTCCAAATGATATGCGTGGTGAGTTTTATCGCTTTTTAATACAAATTTGAAATGATTTTTAGAAGTTGAAAAGAAAAACGTCAGTAAAAATTCCATCAACAATAAATTCATTTCGTTGATTCTTGTTTCGTTACATATTAGTAGATTTTCATTGTATCGAGGCAAGTTTATTTGTGATCACTGTAACCAACATAAACTGCTAAATTCAGTTTGTTATAGCTTGATGTTACGGTTTGTGGACGACACTTTTGATCCAGAAATTGCTGCTACGATTGGTTTGTTTTCATCTATATTGTTCTTGGTGATGCTTGTGAATCATATGTGCTTAGTCGCAACTTTTCGAAAATGTATCATTACTAGGCATTTAATTCAGACGCATTAAGGGGTTGATTTTCGTGTCACTTCAATGGTGATTGATGGAAACCAAGTAAAATTAGCTATTTGGGTAAGCATTTATGTTTTTCAGTCTGTATTAGAGTAAACTAAATTGGTTAAAATTATTTAAAATTAGTTACTATGTTTCAGTAGTAAAGTAGCCGTTTTAAAAATTATTTTTCTGGAGTGAAGATATATAAACTTTGCTTACTTTAAGTACTCATAAAGTTTATTATTTATATAGCTTCAGTATGCATAAAAAGTGCTTGCACTTAGAGAAAGGTTAACGATTTTTGTCATTTATGTTATTTGTTGTAATTTTAGGATACTGCCGGGCAGGAACGTTATCGTACTTTGATGCCGAGTTATTACAGAGGGGGTCAAGGAGTAATATGTGGTTTGTGTTTATCACTACTTATGTAAGCTACAAATAACTGAAGTGCATAATTTATTTCAAAGGAGTTTTGTAAAAGGAAATTTATAAAAATTGCATATTAATATGGCGAATCCTTCATTTACTTTATTTAGCTGTTCTTAATAAAATAATTTAATTCATTATGCAGTGTACTGGCCTGTTTTTTCTTTCTCCAGTATATGATGTGTCGAATCGGCAAACTTTTGAACAACTTGGTCATTGGATGAATGAAGTGAAGACATATGCAACGAAATCAGACGCAGTAAAAATGCTTATTGGGAACAAAATTGACAAAGTAAATTTTCTAGCTAAAATCTGAAGTTGTTTGTGTCACTTTTTCTTTGGGTATTTAATAATCAGAAGTATATCAATATTAAATTGATTTTGCAGTCCAGTCGAGAAGTTTCTCGAGAAGAAGCACTAGAATTTGCAAAAAGACATCGTATGTTGTTTATTGAAGCAAGTGCTAAGACTCGTGAAGGTGTGCAGTGTGCATTTGAAGAACTTATTGAAAAAGTTGGCGCTTATTTCTTAAGATTATTATATGTTTGAAATTAGAGTTGTAAATTGGAAATAATCTATGCCTTCCATGTAGAGGTGCATTGGGCGTTGATCACTTTTATCAATTGTGGTTTAGTTTTTCAGTTTATTAGTGATATGTGCATAAATCATTATATTCATTACTTTAGTACATTTGCCTGTGATGTAAGCTAGCCAATGCTGACTTTTATAATTGATGGCTTTACTCTCTGAGTAAGCGAGAAGCGATCTGAGGCAATATAAATTTCCAAATTGCGGTGTGATAAAGAGATGATTCATGATAGATGATTCATTCCCTTGTTTTAGATTTTGCAAACTCCGGGACTATGGGAAAGTGATCGATCATCTTTTGCTCTTGGTGCTACTGCAGATGAAAATGCTGGTAGTTGTGGCTGCTGATATCTGACATGATTATTAATATCTTCAGTGTTGTGCCTAGGTAATCCAGCTATGTCACATATTAATCTTGTATTGTAGTTAATTCGAATGCTATGATGCTTGAATCAGTTTTGAAAATTGATTTCTGTCTCGATTTCATCATCTGCGTTTTTTGCAACGAAATAACATTTTGTTGCAGATCCATATATTTTTTTGTTAATTAGTGAGTAATACAGAAAAATGAGTAACAGAAAACAAATTTACATAGGTAGTGTATCCTTTTGTGGTGTGTTTGTAAAATAATTCATGTCTGACATTGTGGGAATCTTTTGTGTTGGTTTCGGCGCTAGTGATGTTTGGTACTATGAGGATTACAATATTTTGAAGTTGAGTTATGAAAAAAAAAGTCAATCAGGCTCCAGAATTAATTAAGTCAGTTCACTTGCTTCTTCACTGTAGACTGTTTGTGTATATGTTTTTGAAAATTAACAGCAGATTAGCTGTAGTTGTACATAAATTTGTCCACATTTTAAATGTTGAAGATTTTGAACATGTTTGCTACAAAATATTGCTCTAATACAAATGAATAAAAATTTTCTAGTCATGAACTGTTGTATCTCATGCAAGTAGCCATTTATGTCTTCCTGATAGGACAAACTGCATCCGCATTTTTTTGATGGTGATGCTTGAAATTAAAATACTGCAGTGGGGTATGCACATTTAATTCCTACTACGTGGTGTGGTTTAGTACTTCAAAAAGAATTGGATTTTGAGGCAAAAGAAGGGCCAATTGCCGTTGTAAATTTGAATTTTTGTTTCATAGATTCTGCTCGATGTCAAACACGAGATACTTATTATTTGACTGGAGCAGAACTTTGAAAGTAATTTAGCTCATGAATTAGAAAAGTGCCAGATATTCACTAGGCATATTTCTTTTGAATTCACTACAACGATCTTGCTTGTACTGTTGTAGCGAAAGCAAAAGAAATATCTTTGTACAGCATTGTTTTAAAAGCAAACTGTTTAGACAGTGAGGCACGTAAGTCAATCCATCATAATGTTGATTTTAGGTTATTCAAAAGCAAGTGCGAGATATGTGCCTGATATTTATTTTTGTACAGTTTTAATTTATTTCAGTTAGAATTTGTGATTAGAGTGTCGGAGGTAACGGCAACTATCGATGAAGATTTCAGTTTGAATGTTGTTAAGTGAATACAGTTTGAACCATAAAGCACTGAGCTCAATTTATTCTTCAAAACCACTACTTACAAATTAATTACTTTAGTTTTTGGGTAATGAAGATGAAGTCATTATTTCATACCCAACATCATAACAAACTAATCCGCTTTCTTTTTTGGTATTACTCGTGACCGCTGATTGGAACTTTTCAATCAAACAGCTGAAAATTTTATCACATTCCACATATTTATGGTCACTTCTGAGAGTATACTTATAGCAACATGATGTAATATTTTTGATCTTTTAACTGTTTAAAAGGGAATATGTTTGCTCTTGACGGAATAATGCTAAATTGATGGTAGTCTAGCGTTTGGTTCCTTCCATATGTGCTGGTAGCATTGGGTTTCAATTGGGTCAACTTGTAACACAGCTTCATTCAAATGTGGATCACAGTGATGTGAATGAGACAACCTGATTAGGGTTAAAGGTTGTCTCCTACATTTCACTTTCTTTGGTTTCATTCGTTTCCAATTCATTCATTCATATGAATGCATCTGTCAAAAGATGAGATAAAAATTGCATTTGCGGTTTTATAGCTACGAAATGTTTAGAAATTATTATTTGCTGAGCATATCCGTCAGTTTTTCATTCCTTCCCTTCCCTTTCAGAATTGCACCAATAAATGCTGAAAGTATAATGACAGTTCTGTGTGTCATTCTGTGTATTACAATGGCTATATGTACAAAGCTTTGATAATTTTTACGCAGCCTTGCAAGTGTAAAAGTTGTAAATTTTCTTTTTACAATTAAAGCTAACTAATACAACCGTCGAGCCCTTTATGTCAATACTGTAATAACTGAACTGGAAGTCATTTCATGAGTTCATTTCCGTTTACTCTGCAAATATGTGCAGTGAAGCCATCCGAGAAGCATAAGTCTTCATTTCCTATCACGAAACAAAAGTGTAATGGTAATAGTAATAGTATAGATAATAATAACACTAGCAGTAATAGTATAAATAATCATAGCATGATTAGTAGTTATTATTAACAAGCGTGAAAGTATAAATGTCTGAAATGAGGTAAATAGTAGTATCAAAATGATTTATTTGATTATTGCTATTAAATCGCCAAAGCAAAATTTAAATTTAGAGTTCTGCTAATCGATTTGATATCTACCATAATTATGAATGATTCAAAAGATCATCATCTGTGAGTGTGAATTAAGGCGAGCAAATTATCTAGCTCCTGTTTAGTTGAAAAGTACTGCTGGATAAAGGATTACAGAAAAAGAATTCAGTTCATGTTGCCACTCATTGTTCAAAAAACTAACTAATTTGTATGAGTTAAAAAATGCTTCTAATTTTGACTACTCAAATAATCACTAATGCAGATAGCGTTGACCAGCTATCTAAACTTTAAAACTTGATCAGTCACTAAACAAGCTTGATTTACACGTAAGATACGTCACAGAAATTATAAAATATTACACTTTCAATGCATGGTTTACAAAAATTCCAACAGTTCATTCAGTTCACCAAAGTTGCATATATGTGATGTTTTTGCAAACAAATGTATAGTTCAGTTCAGCAAAGAAAATTTCACTGCAGCTGATATGATACAATCATTTAATTTACGTCATAATAGTAATAATCAAATAGAGATGTGATGCTATGCACACTTTAAACGATTTATTCATTTTTTCGTCTTTACGCAACACATTTCAACTTTCCACGCATGCACAAAATGTACACGTGGAATTGACAGATTGGTTTTTGCTTGCGAAAACTGAAAAGGAAACATTTGTTTTAGTTTACTTAAGGGAGCACATAGTTTTCTGTTATAATAAATTAAATTGATATATTGTGCACTTTTACTTAATCCAAGCTGAAAATTAAAAGCTTTCTTTAATAATTTGTCATGCTTCTTCAGTAACTATCTTCCCGATTCAGTAGCCATCGCGAAATGATGCTTTTTGCAAGATAGTGAAAAATAAAATTTACAGTTCTTATCATCCCAAAATGACAGTAATGGAGGTATAGTAAATGAAGTGGTAATGCATACTATGAGGTATTATATAAAAACGTTGATTTGAAATTTTTGCATCCCACAAGGAAAGCAAATAAACTGTGCAACATAAATGAGTCATCAACCATCTTCTCGCTGTTTGTTTCTCTTTTTCTCTCTTTGGCTGTCTGTGCATGAAAGGACATTCGCTTTTCCAGGAATGGACTCTACATTTTTCCCGCAATTTCTGAAATTTGAATTGGGCCAATCAATGCACGCTGAGCAAGTCTTTCAGCCAATAAACGGGCAGGCTGTCTGTTGCTTTAGACATTTCGACTCCACCCACGCATTGATGAGTAACCAAACATGTCGTCTATTAGAGACTTAGCTAAGAGAGAGGAGCAGAGAAGTAGCATGCGCAACGTCATTAGGGTCGGAATGTGAATTTAGAGTATATCGATAGGGTTGTTGGTGAGCGGTCTTGGGGGGCAGTGGTTGGTTGGAGAGGGAGTGCGTTGTGGTTGTACATGTTTGTTGGGCTGGTTCTTCAGATTAATTAGTAAGTGAGGTCATGTCATGTTAATTGTCTAAGCTAAGAATAGGCAATTGCAGATGGTTACAATTTGTTGATTTCATTTGACGAAAATATTGGCTCATGCATTTAGCGTCTAGGACTTCATTGCTGTATCTGTCCCTAAATTGTATTGTATAAGTACGAAGTATAGGAGACATAGCGAAGTTCAGTATGTGTCAAAGACTATGCTGAAGCGTGTTAGGAAAGGTCATCTGACCTCGTTCTTAACAATTTATGAATGCGCGTTTTACTAGGCGGGTTTTTTTCGTTTGATGAGTTGGAATCACATTGCCATGCAGAAGCTTAAGTATACGTGTTAGAAACGGAATTTTGTAAGTAGTAGCGACCTTGATTAGGACTGTCTGTGCCGAGTAATGTGCATATGGATATGACTCATGTTTGCATATAAATGTGCATGATACGCTGTACTAGCAATTAAGTCTACATTAGTTATGTTATATTGCACGTGGTGACGCCGAAGCATGTCTGGGTTTTGGAATGGGGTAGTTTGTATATACAGAGTAAATAAACACATTTTGCGGTTGTTTGGTTTTTTCAAGTGCTACTTAAGCAGTGTGTGGTGGCTTTCACACATTGCTCTCACACCTTTAGGACTTCCTGATGTCATCCATTTGGTATTAGTTCGAGACTGTGAGTGTGCTCAGTAGTGGTAACGTATGGCCAGTGTTTGTAGTGCTGAGGTGGGGGCTGTGAACAAACTGATTGCGTAAGTTATGTATGGGATTATAGTATTGACCTTACCGACAGCAGTAGACAGGGACATTGATATGAACAGGTGTATCTCTTCACAATTACGTGCGGTTGTGTCATTAATTAGTGTGGTAGTTTATTTGATTCAGACATAGTGAGAGCATTTGGATAACCATCATACTGTTAATGTTAAGGAGAGATCTTGATCTGCCAAGATAAATTCGAGAAGCACGCTTAGTTATTAATCCTTCTAGAAGTTGGTTGGACATGACGGGACTATAGAAATAGTTGTAAAACTATGCGGGGAATGTGCGATGATATATAAGGGGGTAAGATAAGCTATGATGGCGGGCGTGAAGACAGATGAAGAGATAGGACTGATCAATAGAGAAGATATGAGAGAGGCGGTGTTATGTGCCATATTTCTGTACTGCTACTGCCATTGCTTCTATTATGTGTTCTGGCAATGGAGCAGTGATGTAGGGAGCAACTTGCAAGAGGGGAAGAAGGATGGGATAGCGTGAGCGAGGGCAGACACTGAGGAATGTGCTGGTGGCATTGCAGCAGCAGTTATTTTTGGAGGCGAAAGCCTTGTATGTGCATGTTCATGTGTGCATGGACTTGTATCGATCCGTCTGTTATCCATCCCAGACAAGGGCTCACTTGCTTGCACCGTTTCTCTGCTTTCGCCTCCTTTTCATCCATCACGGCTTGCTCCTTATCTCTACTGTCCTCTTCCTTACCGAATGCAAGTGGTGACTGAGTTCACGAATTGCTATGCTTGCGTATTCCAATTTTGACCAGTTTGACTAGTGTGAATTTATTAGTGCGATATTGCAATGTTATTGCAGCTGACGTTATCATCTATTGAGCAAACTCAAGAAAATGTGTGACGACGACGTTGCTGCTCTAGTAATTGACAATGGATCCGGTATGTGCAAAGCTGGTTTTGCTGGCGATGATGCTCCACGTGCTGTATTCCCATCAATTGTTGGACGTCCACGTCATCAGGGAGTTATGGTTGGGATGGGTCAGAAGGTTAGTGGAGTCCAATACTATTGTCATTGCAACTAACATGAAATAATTCGTTTATGAATCAGTTGTATTCTTTGTTTTTATATTTCTGTTGGGTATAATATTTAAGTTGATATAAAAGCTCATAGAACAGGTGGCCTGAATAGGGAATATTGAGAATTCTACAACAGAGTGATTTACAGGACTCGTATGTAGGAGATGAGGCTCAGTCTAAGCGTGGTATTTTGACACTGAAATATCCCATAGAGCATGGTATCGTAACAAACTGGGATGATATGGAAAAGATCTGGCACCACACTTTCTACAATGAACTGCGAGTAGCACCTGAGGAACATCCTGTCCTATTGACTGAAGCACCATTAAATCCAAAAGCGAACAGAGAAAAAATGACTCAGATTATGTTTGAAACATTCAATACTCCTGCGATGTATGTCGCTATACAGGCTGTTCTATCGTTATATGCATCCGGTCGAACAACTGGAATTGTCCTAGATACTGGTGATGGTGTTACGCATACTGTTCCCATCTATGAAGGCTTGTTTTCCTCTTCACTTCAAAACCATTTTTTTTATATGGATATAATGTATTCGGAAGTGGCAGTTGGTCACTTGCGGGTTTATATATTTGAGTGCAACAGTCCATTTTTGGAATCAGGAGCATAGATAAATTTATTTTAGGCTATGCTCTACCCCATGCCATTCTGCGTCTTGATTTGGCGGGCCGCGATCTTACTGACTACCTCATGAAAATTCTCACTGAGCGTGGTTATTCATTCACTACGACTGCAGAACGTGAGATTGTACGCGATATAAAAGAAAAACTTTGTTATGTAGCGCTGGACTTTGAACAGGAAATGGCAACTGCTGCTTCATCATCATCGTTAGAAAAAAGTTACGAGCTTCCTGATGGGCAAGTCATCACTATTGGTAACGAACGATTCCGGTGCCCCGAAGCACTATTCCAACCATCCTTTTTGGGTAATATCTGGAATTTGTTTTATCATTGTTAATCTGAAGGATTTATGTTTTGTTGATTTTCCAATTCATGAGGCCAATTTCGTTTCTAGGAATGGAGTCGACTGGTATTCATGAAACAACTTACAACAGTATCATGAAGTGTGATGTGGACATTCGTAAAGATCTTTACGCCAACACCGTTCTCTCAGGTGGCACGTCAATGTTTCCAGGTATCGCAGATCGTATGCAGAAAGAAATTACCGCTCTTGCACCAAGGTTGTTTTTCATTTGTGGTTCGGCTGCAACATCAATATATGTTCTAGCTATATGAAGGCTCGCATGAGTCTTTTATTCTTTGTCAGCTTTTATGATTTGTTTTGCAGTACAATGAAGATTAAAATTATTGCGCCTCCTGAACGTAAGTATTCCGTGTGGATTGGTGGATCTATCTTGGCATCATTGTCCACTTTTCAACAAATGTGGATTTCGAAGCAAGAATATGATGAATCTGGACCATCAATCGTTCATCGTAAATGCTTCTAAGATGTCATTGATGTTCTTGCGTTTGCTACTGTTTTTTTCTGCATAGTAAGATCTATAAAACTGTTCTGGGGAAATACCCATTTGAAGTTGTTTTAATTGTAAGCGCGCGTCTTTTCGCTTTTGACGCATTCATTTTGTACTATTTTTGTTGCAGAAAATGCCCAAGTAATTTATTGGTAACATTGTGCCTAAAGCATATTTTTGTTGGTTCTTTGTCTGGTTTTAACTACAGTAAATTGAAACTTGGGAAGTACTGTGGTACTGGTGCGTAATCATGTGCAAAGCGTCGCCGTTTAATGTTTGTAAGCCTTTGTGAAGCAGGACACGTACTCCATTCCGTTTTTCTATTTTTCTGTTACTGAATAAACATATCTTAATATGATGTGCACTCTATTGCAACGCTTTCATTAAAATTCTGGAGGCTATATGTAAAGGTAGTTTATACATGGGTGGTATACTAGAGTGGCGAGTCAGTTAGTACGATCTGTATCACAGTCAATTAGTGCAAGGAGTAGAGCAGTTGATGTGGGCTCTACTGGAGTGGTTTTGTATGTTTGGTTTTGGTGGCAGATTCGTAATTCAAGGTACTTGCAGGGCTTTGTTAGGTATCTTAAGGCTCTTAATTCCTTCCGGGTCTTTCTGCTGAGCTTTGTCATTTTAAACGGTATGGTAACCCATATGTCAGACTATTGCACTGTTAATTCCTCAGTGAATTCCTGTTAACATTCCTGATGTGTTAGACGGATATGCAATAAGGGAGCATCGGTTAGTGAAGGGCCTTTATATTAATGCTTGGTATAAATCGGGATTACGATGGATGTGACGTAGTCATGGATCCTGGGTATTGTGTGGTTATACATCTGCATTGAAATTTTTGTATGGAAATTGGGGGCGCATGATACAACTTTAGTAGTTTTTCGATGTCTTAAGACTATTCTTAAAAATAGTTCGCAAATATTCTAAATTGTGGCAATGGTATGTTCAGTTTCAATAACGTTTACATCGTTTTTGAGGTTCTAAATTAGTTTCGGGGGTTTGTGGCAGATCTCGTGTCGACTATGTCAACGAATCCCTTACAGCAGTCTACAGTTCAAAGATATTTGAGCAGTCGAAAACGTAGGAACGATTCTGACCAGTGTGGTGCTTCAGATAGCAGTCAGCAGGCATTCGCGAAAAGTACATTTCATTGCTTTGACGTGCTTAGTCAATTTATTAGGACTGTTGTTTGGAAGAGAAATATGTTACTTGAGAATATATGAATACAGTTTAGTAAAATCAAAGATAGCTTAATTTATGCTAGCGAAGTTTTCGAATTGAGAACAAATCATTTATTATTTGTGATTCTGCTTGTTAACGTAAAAATAAATTCACAACAAACAGTTTGACTCTCTGTCAGTCAGCGATATTGCCTCAGCGAAGAATAGCAGGGCAGATTAAGCGAAGGAATGTTCAAAAATTTGAAAAGTAAGATGGAAAAGAGTCTTTACTTACCAGAGATGGAAAAGTTTCTGTTTTATCTCTGTGTTTCATTAATTCTTAATCTAATTGAAGTCAGCAGTGTGAAGCCATCATGGAAAAAGTTCGCTGTGAATCAATCTGCACACAACAACTCCTCTACGGATTTACTGATATGTGGGTATATGATCAAATTACCTCTGGGTGTTCAACCATATGCTACACAGCGCACAATGATAGCGAAAATCCTTACTAGCTTGAAAAACAAACTTAATGCTCTTATTGAAAGTCCAACTGGAAGTGGTGAGATTTTATTTACCATCATGAAACTTGTGTTTTATGCAGTAACTGTTGCATAAGTTCAACATTTCGCGAATCAGTCATAGAGTATTTAGTAGAACGACTGCAACGCTTGCAAAATCTGTTGCGCACAACCGTTTTTTTCTTCTTACACTGAAAACATTTGTTCCTTAATTTGAATTTTATGCTGATTCATGTTGACTGGGGAAACAATGCAATTTTTATAGGTAAAACGCTTGGTCTCTTATCAGCAAGTTGTGCATGGCTTGAAAGATATAAAACAGATCGCATGCAGTCACGAATTGAGTGTAAAGCTTGTCAAGGCGGTTGCGAAGATCGGCATTCTATGAAGGAGACGTTGAATCAGAGCACTTCATTTGATCATTCAAATGAAACAGATTCAAATTTAAGCAAAGACAGTACTTCCATAAATGCTACCTCATCAGAAACTAGTTTTGAAGCAACAACCATTTCTACTTGTAAGTCATTTGTGTCATATCTTTTCAATGAAAGCATTTCAGAAAGTAATATGGAATTGAAGTTGTTATAAATAATGATTTTTGCTTTGTGGTGTTCTTACAGACTTTAAGTTCATTCCTTTTTTTGGTATTTTACGATTTAATCATCAGTTGTTCGTACTGTAAGCTTCAGAAAAAATTTCTATTCTTTAACTGGTTTTTCAGTAGAGGATGAATTTGAAAGTGATTTCTGTTCTGTTGCGAACTCCTCATTTGGATCAAGTAAGGTTGGTTATCATTAGAAAATTATATAATTACAGGGATTTAATTTTAAGACGTTTTAACCCAAGTTAACAGTTAGGTTATAAAAAATGTCATTTCAAAACTGTGCTATAAGTAAAATTTTTTTCTTAAAAATTGTTCACAAGTATTCTAGTCAGCAGGAATTTCTTTATTGGATGATAACAAGATTTTAAAGAAGGAAGTGGAAGAAGAAGGACATACATGTTTACCGTAAGTAGTTTTCCAATATGTTTCAGTTATTTCTGTTTTGTTTTTCCGGTTGCATTACTTGAATTATTTATCAGTTCCTCAAATATTTAAATTTTATTAGATTAACATACTTTACTATGAAGAAAATATATACTAAAGACCATTTGGAACGATTAATTGCATTGTTGTGGAAACTTTAATGTACTTGCAAATTCAGTCAGTTTACAGGCGTATAACAATATATTATGGCACACGAACTCATAAACAGATCAGTCAAGTGGTGAAGGAATTTTCACGTTTACCACATAGTCGCAAAGGAGTTATTAGGTAATTAAATATAATTTACATCTTAGTAAGGTTGCAGTATCTATCACTCTCTGTCTAATGATGTATTCATGTATTTAAACTTCCATGTCATTACATGAGCAAACGCGATTTTTTTTTAAATTATTGAAATGGATATATTATTTTTTTATTTTCATTCTTCAGATATAATTCATGTTTTTCCACCTATTAAAAATTGACATTATTGTCGAGTTTTTACCTTGAATTTAATTGCTTCATTAGCATTATTCTTAAAAAGTTGTTTTAATAGCTTTAATCTACCATTCATTTTTCACAGACACACAATATTGGCAAGTCGTGAACATATGTGTATCAATGCTGCAGCTCGTGCTAGTGATGACATCAGTGGTAAATGTAAGGAATTCATTGCTGCGGATGGGGTAATTCGAAATTGCATTCTTATGCAATGATTAAATTAAATAAATTAATGAGCTCTATTTATAAACAGGAAAGGAGTATTTGATTTCAATTCAGTAATATTAGTAAATGATACTGTGAAAATTAGTTCAAGTTTTTTATAGTGAACAAAATTAGGATGCTTTACTAGTGTCGGAAAAAAATCTGTGGTAATCTTCAAGTTATTTTCATGTTTCAGGAGTTGAGGATGAATATTTTGAAGTCGAGAGATAAATTTTGAAATACATAGCTATTTAAATATAGCATATCATTATCTTAGATTATGATCATTATCTTAGATTATGATGACATATGATGTAAAATACCTAAATATTACATACAATAGCCTTCAAATTTGCTCATGAATATTTAAACTTCTGGATTCTTCCTTATTACATGTTGAAAGACAACAATAAATTGAAAGTTAAGCTCGATTTCAATGAATTTAGATTGGGTGTTCGTATAAAAATTCAATGCGTATAAAATATGAAAGGCCACATGCTGTTAGACGTCTTATCGCACAAACTACTGGAGAGAAGAACTATGTTTGGGATGTAGAGGATCTGGTAGAAGCATTAAAATGTTCTAAACCATCGCTTTGTCCATATTTTTCGACAGCTCGAGTACTCATTGACGATGCTGATATTATCTTCTGTCCTTTCTCGTATCTTATTGGTATGATTGTTTATAGAGTATTTAAATTTCATTTCACTGTATTGTAACATAAAAAGTTGTTTATTTCGTCTTATCAATAACACGTATATACAGTTATTTTGTCACAGATCCTATCATTCGTGCAAATTCGGGTTTAAGTTTGAAGAACACGATTGTCATTTTGGATGAAGCTCATAACGTTGAAGATGTTTGCCGTGAAGCAGTCAGTTTTTCATTTACAGAGCGCGAATTGATTGCTACAGCAATAGATTTATATCATAAAGGTTGGAGTTTTAATTCTGTATAGTTTCATCGCACTATGTTTTTGGAGTGTAAAGATTGTTTGCAATATCTTTTTAAGCCACTGAACTTGAGAAAGAACTAGCAAAAATAGATGCGAAAGTTATTACTGAAGAAGGATTAATTAAAGAAGAGAGCAACCGGACTGGGAGGTATCATCAGTGTTTAGAAATTATAAAGAGTCATTTTAAAACGGTTTGTATTTTACTAGATTGAACCTCTGTTATGCAATTTTGTGATTATTAATGTTCGCTTCTAAATCATTTTACAAATCAGTAAAAATAGTTGTTTATCTTAATGAAGCTTTGGAAGTAAACTAGACTGTTTGATTGTTTATTTGTTTGAAATTGTATTTAAATGATTTAGAAGCGGATAAATTAACAAGACCGATTTATTTGCTTATAATTAGTGAAATTCTACTGTAGCTAAATAAATGTTAAATACTGTTTCAGGTGAATCACTTTTTAAACAAAGTGTTGGACTGGTTTGTTAGTGTATCACTGAATACTCTACAGTCAGCTCCAATTATTAATGATCGTACAGCGTATACGTATAATTGGGAAAAGTTGTTTGCAACCTTTGCCAGTAATGATTTGGATAAATTCGCTAAAACTGGCAAAGGAACTCCATACTCAAGTCTACTGGTAAGATGTTTTCACACTAATATGTGTTTTTTACTGTTTTTAAATTTCTGATTAGATATTTTCTCTTCTTTTCATTTTTATCCTATAATTTTTCTTATTTCGTACATAGAGATTGATTACATGATTACTAATTACTCAAATGATTGATTGAAACTTTGTAATACATTTATTTATTCATTTTCATATGAAGCCCATTGTGTTGCGTATTGGAAAGTTCACTTTTGTATTTAAACAAGAAATAATGGAGGGATTAAGCAACGTCGTTACCTCCTAAATCTACAAATTTTGACTTTTTTTAAGGAGGCTTTTCTAGCGATCACTGCAGCGAGCAATGAGAATGAAGAGTTTCAAATGTTTACATCACAGTACAAATTAAATGGTTCGACAGTTGTTTGTGTTGAAAAATTTTTGTATTTTTTAAAATCTTATTTTCGAGAGGATAATCGAACCGCTTACAAGTGAGTTTTTTTTTCCTTTCGAAATGATAATAATTAATTCAAGCTAGTTTTAAGGGTTCAAAAAAATTATTATTATTGAAATTTGTTCTTATATCAATTTTATCACTTCATATGACCAGTCAGATACTTGACTTAAAAAAATTTTTTTTTCAGATTATTTGTATGCATCGATAAACCGTCTGCACCTTACCCACGTCCGAATATATCTGAAACAGCAGAATTTCCAGCATCCCATGTTTGTTTGTTTTTTGTAACAAGAAATGAACTCCTCTTATTCTCTAAAATAAGGCGGTTTTGGAAATTATTTTTATCCTCACAATTCATTATATCCAAATATCATGTAGTGTTGGAAAGAAGACTAAGATTTATTGCAAAAATGATGCGCCATCTTTATTCATTTAAGGTTGACATCTTGAATATGAAATCATATAAAGAGAAAGAGTTACAAGCAAATTCGAAGACTCGATTAAGTGATTACCGCGAAGTGAAATATGGTTATCGTGTCACCATTAATTTTTGGTGCATGCGACCATCAGTGGTATTCTGCATTTTTATTAGAACTAACGACCAAATTTTTGAAATTCATTCCTATTGTAGTTACAAAGATTTCTGGGAACAAATTTTAGATATAAAGACGGAAACTTATTTAATTTATGTTATTACAAGTTGATTCTGCAATTTCGTTTCTGTAATTCGATTATTTGTTCTCACCAACCTGCAGTTTTTAATTTAATATTTCAGGCATATATTGATGCTTTTAAAGGATGCCGTAGCGTTATTCTAGCTTCCGGCACGCTTTCTCCTACAGATACTTTCCGTACAGAATTAGGAACTGTCTTTCAGCAGGAAATGCAAGGGAACCAAATTATACCAAAAGATCAAATTTTTGCTGCAGTGGTTCCAACCGTTAGTTTTACTCCTTTTTTCCCGAATGTTTTTGAACTTATATCTTGATTTTTAAGGAAAATAGTATTCTTCATTATTCTGCAGGGACCAAGTGGTCAGAAGTTATGTGGGACATACAGGGTTATCAACCAAGATGATAGATTTCTACGCGAAATTTCATTAATTCTAAAGTATATTTGTTTGTTCACCACACATTTGAAAGATAGATTTTATCAGTTTACTTGACATCGAATTTTCGTAAATGGAATTTCATATATTAAGAATTTCTGCAGCTGTTACTAATTCTTCTTTTTTCCATGCATGATATATTGTGTCATATCAAAAGATTGTGCAGCAGTTTTTTCAGACATATCTGTTGCATAATTCCTAAAGGCGTGTTATCTTTCTTCTCGAGTTACCGAGTTTTAGATCAGATTTATGATTATATGGAGACTTCAGGCATTTTGAGACAGATACAAAGCACAAAGGTAATACAATTAAATAGGCAAATTGAAAAAAAATATTTAGAGCGACTGGTCATTTTTTAATTTTTTTTACTCTGAAGTAATTTTGCAGAGATCGTGAAGTTTTTATAATTTTGTTTTTTAATTGTTAATAGTATGAACTATTTAATATTATAACAACTGCCCGCACTACTAAATTCTGTGCTACTTTTATAAAATTTAGTTACAGTGAATGAAAAATTAATTGTTACGCATGATGTACGTTAGGTTTTAGGTTGTTTTGAAAGAACCACGACGTTCATCCTTAATGAATACAGTCATGTTGCAATATGAAAACGCAATTATTAATCCTCTTAAGTTTGGAACGCAATGTTCTGGAGCATTAATGATGGCTGTTTTCAGAGGCAAGGTAATCATTTATGTGGTGCTTTAATTATAGCGTTCTTCCCAAATGCAAATTACCATTCGTTATTTTATTTTGGTGAAGGTAAATATGCATTCCACTTTCCCCAACTTTTTTATCACCTTGCCATTATTGTTCTTACCTAAGCACTGTAACAGATATCAGAAGGCATTGATTTCGCGGATGATCGAGCTCGTTGTGTTGTTACTGTTGGTATACCATTTCCAAACGCGATGGACGAACAGGTAAATTAAGTATTCTTCATTTCCCCTTTATTGCAATTCTTAGGTACGTTTCAACAAGTATTTTAGGTTATCGAAAAAAAGAAATACAATGATGATTATTGCAAAAAGTTACAAATATTGTCAGGTGATGAATGGTACATAATGCAAGCTTACAGAGCACTCAATCAAGCATTGGGAAGGTGGGAGTACAACTAATACTAAACCTTTCGAACATATCAAATTTTTCTTGTTTGTTGCAAAAAGTTTTGAGACGGAGTTGTTTAATTCATATAAATTTTTGGAATAATTTCAATTTATAATCATCAAAAGATAAAAGTTGCTTGATTTTTCATTTTGCGATATGGAGTTTTCTGAAATCTGGTTTTCAGCTCTCAGGATTTGTTCTCGAGACATTGTCACAGAGGTTATCAAAGCATTTAGTTCACAAATTTATTTTACTAATCATACAGTTGATTTTTGCAGATGTTTACGCCACCGTTCTGATTGGGGTTCAATCTTATTGTTAGATACTCGACTACTTCAAACTCAGGCGAATCCAAATGCTAAGAAAGTTTCTCGGTGGATTCGTGAACAGCTTCGTCCATTAACAAGTTACCAGCACTTCCTTAGTGAATTAACAAATTTCGTTAGTGAAATGGAGACGAAATATCTAAAATTTACTGATCGTAATGAGAGTGAGAAGAATTTTGTCTCTGACAGCAGTGTCTATGAATGATATAAATCCAAACGAGTAGGTTTTATTATTATATGCATGAATGGAGTGTTGCTGCTCGTTTTCAGTTTGTAATACATCCTAGACATGGAACCATGATAAATAGTGGTAATAACTAATGTTATGGCTTTCCTTAACTAGTAACTATTAGTGCAAAATGGTAAATGAAGTATTTTATTGCATTCGATTTGCTTTTCTTTTCTAGTAATAACGTAGCTTTAAACTTTCTGTTCGGAAAAGAGTTATCAAGTTTCTTCTCAAACTCTTGTATGCATTTTCATGTTTTGGAAGTGAATGTTGTTCGGTTATGACGTATTCAATGCATGCGAGTTAGAAAGTTGATTTTTGGAAATGTAGGATTCACCATTTTATTGATGAAGTGCTTTTCGTTGCTAAATCTTCATGTGGACTTTTTGTTTGTATCAACCAAGTACAAGGGCCTTCTTTGATAAAAATGGTTGTTTACTTATATTCCGTGTGTGATTTTTGAATTGCAGTAGTTTGCCTGTGTTTGTTTGGTAGAAATAATATGAATACATAAAGAAGAAAAAGTGTCGTCGTAACCACATGTGCTGAACTGATACCATTTTTATCTTTTCTTCTTGCTCAAATAATTGTCTTTCGATGAGCTAAAGAAAGAAAGTGCGAGGAAGAATAGGGGGTTTTAAGCTTGCTTGCTTGCACATTCATTGCAAAGCATTTGCTTTTTCATTGTAGGAAATTTCTTTATTTTCATTCTTGGCACAATGTTTGTGTTACCTACTATCGTTTCTAACTTCATTTTCTAGAGTTCAACGATTTTGAAATTACGGCAAAGTATATCTGAAAATGGTTGTAAACATGATAGAAATTAGCTTGTCAGTTAGTTTTGATGACATCATGCATTTTTTTATTTAGCATTGCCAAAAACACGACAGAAAGTGAGCTAATTTGAATACTGTCACGAGTTCAGTGCGAAGTTATGATACACTAATATTATGAATTTCAGGAGTATGCTAACTTGGCTAATGCAATCAGTTCTGGCTTATATACAGTAGTAAGTGTTGGAAACAAGGTTTTATATACTAATTATTTTGTTAGCTAGTGAATTTTTACTTTTTACAAAATTCGTATTTTTACTCAGTAAATGATAACAAAATAGGTTCTCAATAAACCTTTACTTCTTTTGGGTATTCAGAGTCATGAGGTATGAATAGCATCATGTGGTTTTGGCTGCGATGGAGAAACGAAACTAGGGCTTCTGTTGCTGACTATTTGAAACCCTGGTATTTGCATTGTACTCCATAATTCGCTAGTTAATTCTGTTCGAGTAATCATAAAAAAATTGAACAGAGAAATATAGACGAGTATGAGTGCTCTTTGAATGGCACAAATTAAATATGTGGAAAAGAGTAATTTATATAAGCAAATCATTTATGAGTAAAATAAATAGCTATAGTGTTAGTGGTAGTGAATTAAACGAAGCAAACTTGACTGATAATGGCAAGAGATAACTGATAATGGCGAGAGATAGATAATAATCGAGTTCATAAGAATTATTCCTTTGCAAACATCTTTCTAAGTTCTATCATCTTACTTTCCTTTAGATGTACGTACACATTTCTAGTCCATTTCTACCTTCATACCTTGTTTCTTTACGTACGTACATAAAAACAATTTTATACTTCATATTCATCCTTTTGGCTATTTCCTGCTTACAGAATTGATTTCTTTACGTGTAGATAGCATTTAGATTTGTTAACGAACGAGTTCGCTTGCAGCACGAAGTATGCTATTCATATGAAGTCTGTGTTTATTTCGATATTGTGATTAAAGAGATGGATAAATGAATATGAAAGTTTTGTATGCTTACTGAAAACAATTTTTGCACTTTTAGTTTGTAAATTTCTTGTGATAAATTTCTGTGTACTTTATGCTCATTCCTTGACTGACATAAATATAAGCAAAAACTAAAAAACTGAACTGATCTCATTGATATCGCTTCGCTTATTGCTTATTGACTGATGCTAATCTAGTATAATGCGAATAATGAGTTGATCGTTCGTTCCACTCCTCTGCAATAATTACTACTCCTGCTTAATTGTAGTAACAGAAAGAATTGAAAGTTAATCATGCATAGTTAGTGATGTTTTGTTAATAGCGTGCAACAAGTATATTGTGCTGAAGTTGCGCTAGTTTGTTGACTTTCTTTTCTCATTGTTATCAGTGTGGAATTGTCTGGATCGGTCGTTTTATTCTTCTCTTGCATATTGATAACAAGCGATTCAGCATCTGATCTGATCTGGTCTGATCTGATCTGATCTGACCTCATTCCAGTAGTTTGTTTATTCTTCTTGTAATTTTATTCGTACCTATGTACAGCAAAACGCATAAGATGAACACTGTATGAATACATGCTGAGAAAAATAATTTTTGCTATAACAACGTATGATAATTGCTTACGCTATTTTGATTTTCATAAACTGGAAAAGTTTGTTTCTTAAGCAGACTCTGAGAAACATGAGCAGAGAGTGAGAGATAGATGGAAAAAGCGAAAGAGAAATGAGTAGTGATTGGTGGATGTTTTGTAGACGTGGCATTTTGACTGAAACATTTATATAAGTGTGACGTGCATCTTCCATTGCTAGTACTATAATAATTTTGCTCTTATCATCGTTACAGTTTTTTCCTTATTTATTTTTATACAGTATACAAATCTTTGCAAGAGTTATTTATTAGTAGTTGGTAATGGCTTGATGCAGGTCTACTCATTCTTATGATCGATAAGTTACATCATGTCAAGACATGCATGCTTTTACTTTCCGGCTAGTTTGCTTAATTTATTTACTCAAGTTTCAGTTTTTGTTCAGATTTCTACTACTTGATTATTCATTTAAGTAACTGAAAATGGGTGATGATCCATGTGAATGTTTGTTTAATCACGAGACTGCTATGAGACGCTTACTATCGTTGGTAACATTTTATTCATTCATTCATTCAGTATGCAGGTTTTCATCCTCACTGTTTCAAGGTTAAAAAATGTAGATAATGGGACTATTGTTTTCCAAATTGCAGATTGATGGGAATCAAGGGTTTATGGTGCATTGCGGTTTTTAAGCCTAAGTTAATTTGAAAGAATATAGATAGTCTAATTGCATTTAAATTGTCTTATTAATGTAATGATAGACTTCTGTTTCATGCTTCAGTTGCGAGATTCTCAAGGCTATTGTACGGATTCGGAATGTCTTCAAGATTTACCTGGTCCACAAGGTGTTGGTTTCGGCGCCAATAATTTGATGATGATCGTCATTTTATGGGGTATTCTTGCGATGGCGATGTTTCTCTTACGTCCAAATTCGATGCGCTCGCGGCCAGATTCACTAGGTAAACCGGGACCGAGTTTGGTAAGTGTTGTACTAACATATTCGTGAATTTTAAATTTGGTTTTTACTTCATCATTTATAAGATGAAACTTTAAGATTGTATTTACATTGTAAAATTAGGATAAGATCAGTAATTCATACACTTAAACCAATCATTATTTCAAAAATTTCGTTTCTAATACATTTATAGTTTGTTGCATGAGTGGTATTCTTTAAATGATTTACAGTAATAGGTAAAGGAACTTTAATCAGTAGAGAATTGATCATGTTAATTAATTTCGAGTGTTTGTGTAGTAGGCACGTAGAATATATTTTATGAATTGAGATGCTAGTTGACATAGTTTCACTATGTAATGTAAGATTTTTCATTGTTTATTCTATCTAGGGTGGTGATGATCGAGAACCTCCAGCGCCTAGTGTGCATTAATACGTTTTACCGTCAGTTCCTTCAGTATAAACACCAAAATAGACTAAAATAGTTCAGCATTCAAGTAGTATCTGTAATTTTTTTATATATTTGTCTACACTGAACTGTCTAACACAAACCGCATGATAAAGCCTTTTAACAGTTGGATATAAACATATTCATGCATCAAACACCATAACTTTTGTAAAAGCTCTCCAACCATTCATTACCATTCATTCTTATAATTCTATTCCAGAACTTGTAAAATGCGGATTTTTAGTCGGTAATGGCAGACACATTTGGAGATATGGCGGTATTTCTGTATCATTGTGTATATAGAAATTTCATGCTTTTTATATATTTAATTTCTGTTTAGGAATACGCATTTCTTAAGAGTTATTTTCGACTTTTAAGAAATATAAATAAGTAAACATCTGTTTTCATTATTTAATATTCTACTAAATCAGCATATGATCATAGATATCTGTAAAGAGAAGCTGCATATCTAAGCATTCAAAACATAAGAGTTATTAAGTTCTTTAAAGATGAAAGTAAATCGGTAGGTCAAGTGAAGTCGTTTCTGATTCATCTGAAATCGATCCATTTTTTTTTCGCATATAAAAATAACTTTATTGTTTGGGAAACAATTTAAAAATGCAACGTTGCTCGATGTTATGTAAATTTCTATCCACACAAGCCTGACTATATTTATCTGTCTCATTTTTAGTCCATATCTATTTCTGCATATGTAATAGTCAACATGTGCTTACTTCACCTGAATCACTGTATCTTCTAATATTACGTTTTCCTAATTGCTCTAATCATTTCTACTGTGCTTTTAATTTACTTCTATCTCTCTTCCATTTTCGATTCCAATATTTCAATGAAAAAAATATAATTGCAATTTATAAGGCACATCTGTTTTTTGATTCTTTTGCTTTCCTTCTTCTAAAAACGTTGTCGGGAAATTATTATTATGCACATTTTGTGGTAAATTGATCACTCGTTTGATTCGAATTAAGCTTGCATACTTAGCTGTAAAAGAACATAGTATAGTAGTTTGGTCAAATTTTTCGTCACATGAAGAAAAACTAATGCAATATTAACCCCACAAAATGATGCACCAATGCAAACTCTCTTGATGACTTTCATAATACTGAGTAGCTTAATAGAAATGCACCTGTCTAAACCAATGCAATGTAATATTTTCATTCAATAGGAGGCAAGCCTACGATGATTCAAACTCTTTTGAAGTAAAAATAGTGATATTCTGTGACCATAGGAGTCTGCACTTCCAGCACTTCAATAACATATTTGTATTTTTTAATTCTCACATTTTTATGACAATAAGAATTGCAAATGAAGAGGGGAAGAAATTGGTATTATTTCATGAGCAATATATGAAATCATCCCTAGACCAGAGGTAAACGTCAGTATATTGTAAACATCAAAAAAGAATTTGATATGAAAATTAGATATCCATTGCAGTGATTTTACTTGCTCACTTTCATAAACATCCTTTTGTCACACACAACTGCATATATACGATTTTTCTGAAAGATCTCGGAGAATGTCAGTCAACACTGGGACAAAAAGCAAGATAATTAAAAAGTAATGGAGAATGATTACATAAAATGATACAGCAACAAGGGCGTCTCTTACAGAGAAGAAATTCAGCACATTCATGGAACAATAAATTAGCACTTTATAAACAGACCGTCACCACAAAATCCTATGGAATAATTAAAAAAGAAAATTACTTCAGCAGAACGCATGCATCATGCTATCTGAAAGGTACTTAGACTATTAATCTTGACAAAGTATACATAAATATCAGAAATCTGAGAAACATGCAGAGGTTATTTTTAATAATGTCCGAACAGAAGGTACAGCACCTTGAAATTGAAGATATGTGTCATGCTTAAAAACATGAGTCACAAAAGATGTAAAAAAAATTCCTTCTCCATTTTGAATTGAGAAAATAAAAGATCTGTTAGTCTATATTCCAAACGTACGGTTACCAACGAAGGATGCGATTTCAAAAATCAAACAAGCCCAGGTCAATATCCAGCTTTGGGCATATCTTTTGAGACATGACAATAATTAGTAGAGTGTTAACCATATTATAACGCAAGTGCCTTCTTCAAAAGTTTTTCAACTATTAGATCTTCCAATTCGTTGTCTAAAGTAAACTTTAATTAGGAAATTATGTAAAACGAATATAAACGTTGCGTGTTCAAAGTTTATTTATTTAAATCAGAGATTAGAGTCTATGTCGTGCACTCTGTTATTAAATACCAAACTTCTCGAAAAAATTCCTTAGAAACAGCAAACAGTTATATAACTTTATGAGCATTTAATTATACCATTTAAGCTGATATACACAATACATTCAATAGTTAAAAAGCAGTAGTGTTACCGTTTGTCGTGCTTATACCCGTTACTTCTTTCTCCAATTCAAGCTTTTTCTGGGCAAGGGCTAACATCTCTTCTTCTACGGTATCAGTCGATATTAAACGCACCACAAAAACATCCCTACATAAAAGAGCTTGAGTACTTTAGTGATCAGTCTTGCATAATATTTTAAGTTTTAATACATGTTAATGAATGGAAAAATTTTGCCTCAAGTTACTGTATATCACATTTTCCAATGTTATATACATCATTTTGCTAAAATCTTTATTTCGAAGTGGAGACATAAAAAAGTCACTTTTTTTGACCCATACGATGACATCGTCCTTCAGCCTGTTTATCGTTGTATGGATTGAAATCAATATCATGCAGTATGACGTGGTTTGCAGCAGTTAAATTAATACCCAGGCCACCAGCTTTCGTTGACAACAAAAAGACAAATAAATCAGGGGATGAATTGTATTCATTAATTAGTTCTTGTCTGAAAAAGAATAACTCCTTTGCTTAGAAATAACAATACAAAGCAAAAGATTGCACACCTTTCCATTACTGGTGTTCCACCATCTAACCGACAATACTGGTAATCTCTAAGCTGCAGGTAAACTTCAAGGATATCCATAACTGCGGTGAATTGACTGAATATCAAAACTTTATCTCCCTAAAATTAAATTATAAAATCACAACTTCTTTCTTTGAAGGTATATCAACAAAACTCAGATGCATTTTAGGCCAGTATTTCAAGTTACTTACCATTTCCTTAATTGAAGGTAAGAGTTTATCTAATTCTTTGAATTTCCCAGATTCAAGAGCTATCTTTCGATCCAAGATGAAAGTCTGGGTGGAAGTGAATTTCGAGCACAACTGGCTAATTGCGAAATCTGACAAGAAAGCCATATCTTCCGCAACATGTTCTGATTTCTTCTTCCGATATTCATTCTCCTAGCAAAAAAAAAAAAGATGATAACAACGTTAAAATAAAAAGGATGCAAGGGGAGTAAAATTATAAATTTCTACTTTATTGTTAGAAGACTGAATAATAGAAAAATATTTAGGAATCTCGCTTACAACAGTGCAATTCGAATATGGATGTACTAATCACAATAATTAATGCTTACAAAACCCATCGAAATAAAATTCAATATAAGAAAAAACAAACTTTTGCACATAATACTTTAGCGATCTGTATCACTTTTTCATCGTTGTAAAGACGTCTATATAACAAAGGATGATTAGCTATTTGCCGTAACTGCATTAATCGACCACTATTGTACTTAATACCAGCTAATTCCAATTCTCGAAATTCACGTACCAAATCGATATAAATTTCTTTCTGTTCCGCAGTCATTGGACATTTAATGATAAGTTCAGTCCTCTTTGGCAGGCAATTCAATACCTTAAAATACGGTGAAAAGAAAAGAGCGAAAATATATACACACACAATGAAAAAAATTTTGAAAGAAAAACATATATATACATATATTTTAATACCAACCAAAAAGCAGTATTTAATAGATTTATTTCTCATAAAAATTTATTTTAAGCATTTTTTGATGTTATTTGAAACAGTAGATCATACAGTATACAATGCTCAGTGCAAAAAATACTGCAAGTAATGAGACAAATTTCTTAGATAAAACAACATACATCAGCTTTTAATCTTCGTAAAATATAAGGCCGCAAAATAGCTTTCGCTTGTTCAATTTTTCCAGCCTCATACAATTCACCATTTTTAGCTTCCAGAGCTGGTATTCTCTTAAAAAGAAATAAATCTTTAAATTCCTTCGAAAAATACACATTAACGAAATGACATTTTCGGCAAATCAAACTTACCTGTTGAAATTGCTGCAAGAGTTGCCCAATGTCATCGCAATATTTAGTGAACAGCTTTGTCATTGTGAAGTACATTAAAGAAATCAGCTCAACAAGATTGTTTTGTAGCGGTGTGCCAGTAAGCAAGATTTTCCTTTCACCCTTAATATTAATTTCATTCTAATGAATAATAATGAATTTTTAAATATGTCAACTAAGACGAAAAAAAACTAATCAAATTAAAGAGTTTTTGGTGACCAAACATTTCTTATTATTGAAACTTAAAAATATAGAGACAAGTAATTTATGGTAAATAAAGTAACACAATTAACTTACATGAACTTTCATGAGATTCTTATAACGATCGGTACCACAATTCTTTAATAAATGACCTTCGTCATAAATGACATAATTTATTCGAAATCGTTTGAAAAACTTCCGATCTTCTGCTTTGGACCCAACCATATTATAAGTTGTGAGTAAAACATCTATCTATAAACAAAAACCAGACTAATTGTTGAATACTGAGATTAATTTCTTTTTTAATAAC